GGTGTGTTTTAGGGGGTAACAATATACAGAGAATCGAAATGTGAGGGAACAAAATGTCTGAGTTGTGTTGTGTTTTTAAAATTTTCTTTTATAAAAATCTTAAATTTCTTCTAGAGAAAACCTTTTAACTTCCCAGGGTTAATCAGGGGAGGCAGATTGGAAACTCTCCAGGGCTGGCTCAATCAGTCCTTTCTTCTTACCAGTGGCAGAGAGACATATTTTAACTTATCAGCTATGCAGCCTTGGGCAAGTTACTTACCCACTCTGTGCCTCACATTCCCCAGCTGTATACATGAGAACAATAATAATACCTGTGATTGTCTGTGAGCATTAAATGTGATAATACAGTAAGGTGTTTAGAATAGCACCTGACACCCAGTAAATCTTACAGTTATGGGGACAACAATGAAAAATGTTCAAAATTGTGCCTCTTGTAATTTTTAGAGTATAAACTTGTTCTCACTATAAAAAACAGAACTGAGAGATGCTTCTTGGATTCTGTGCAGCTCTTGTCCCTGTTGTAGCATCTTGTTGAGTATTTCAAGGATTTCAGTGGAAACCCACAGGCTTGACCATGGTTTCTTTGTAAATTGCATTGTTCCTCCCAATTTGTTTCTGGGAGCCCTCTAGACGTTCTTGGAAACCTGACTTGTCCCTCTCCAAAAGAGGGCCACCAGGGTCCATTTTTCTTAAAGAATGGGATGCTGTTTTTTTCCTTGCTTGTCTGAGCTGAGGCCTGTGTCCTCAGCCTCCTACTTGTCCTCCCAATAAGGTATGTTGTTGCCTCTGAGGGCAGCTAGTCAGCTGACTTAGTCTGCATCCCCATCTCACTCTGGATTCCAGCTCTGTGATGTTCTTTCTTTAGACTGACATTTTCCCAGCAGGTTTGGGTGTCTACACACCTTTCCAGTCCCTCAGCGATACCAGCTCAGCACTGCCAACCATTCCTCTGAGGCAAAACCTCTTTTCGTGATCATTTGAGTTGCTTTTCTCTGCTCTCATTCTAATTTGTTTCTGTACTTCTGGAACTGAGCTAGTCAGTTCTTAACATGAAATTAGTTATAATTTGTTATTGAAATGATTCTGCCAAAGGATTAAAAATAAATGGCACTAAATCACCTTTATTCAAATGAAAACACTAGAAGTCATCTCATTATAGAAAACATTAATATAATGTTTCCTGACTCACTCTGGCTGATGCCATAAGAAAGCAACAGTTTGCCAGTGAGGAAATGACCTCTAGGCAGGTTAACGGCTCTGATCTATTCAACCGTCCATGCGTTCATTCATTCATCCAAAATTTATTGAGCATCTACTATGCGCCAGGTGCTGGGAATACCAAATGAATAAAATATTCATTCTCTCCTCAAAAAATCAAGAAGACAGTAAGTTGAACAATAGAAAATTATCAAAATGAGAAGTGAGCATTTTTACAAGGTGCCAAGCAGACACTGCAGGAGTCACTCTTTGCCTGGGCACCTCTTGGGGAAGGAAGAGAGATATGGTAGGAAGGACACAGGGTGTGACCCTGCTTCCTCTGTGTTACAACTGAAACTGTCTCTCATATAGCCTCTGTGATATTTTCAGCTCAATCGTTGGATACAAATGGTTCATCTGTGTGAGTGAGGAAGCTTCAAGGATGCAGGAAAGGGACATGGATAACCAAATAAAGATGAACAGCCCCAAAATGCTGGCAAGGAATGGAGAGAAAAATATTCCAGCAAATACATCCAAATTGTGGCTCTTCTAGGGACATGATATCAGTCATCAATGCACAAGTTTTCATTTGCAAACTTGCCAGACACTAGGGTAGGCGCTCTGGAAGTTGAGAGTGCTGTTAGAAATACTTATCAATTCAGGGTTAGGATAAATGTTTTGCCAGTGTCAGAGCAGAGCAGGCCTAACATCAGCCAAGGCAGCCCATATCCTTAATAGAAGGCCATCTGGCTGAGTGGTGACGTTAACTCCCTGGAGTCAGAAAAGCCAGGGTTTGAAATCTGACTCTGTCACCAACCAGCTGTGTCACCTTGGGAAAGTTCATACGTCTTTCTACTGTTCAGTTTCCTGATCTGCAAAATGGGGATAATAGTAGCTCCCATCTCTGTGCTTATCACATAGCAAGGCACTTCAAAAATGGTAGAGGGTACATTTACTGTGATCAGGGGAGGTGAGTGTTATAAGTTAGCAGTATAATGAAGGTAAGAGGCATGCATTTTTAACATTGTCGATAAGTTTATTTACAACTCTAAAAAGCACCTTCTTTTTTTCCCCTGACTCCTTAAGATCATCTCCTTCTCTTTCTTCCTTCTCTCTCCTTTCTCCCGCCTTTGTGCCAGGGTCTGTGAGCATTCCTTCCAGAGCCTAATTCCCACCCCCTCTGTTCTGTCTGTCTCCATCAGTCCCAGGTCACACATGTCCCTGGCAGTGCCTTCTGGAGTCCAGACTCAGCTCTGTCAGCCAGTGAGGGTGTCTGAGACCTGCTTCACCTTCTCTCTGCATCAGACTTTGTGAACATTGACAACAAATGAAAGTTCTTTCATGATCTTGATAAAAAATGATTTGAATTTTACAGATCAGTGAACCAGAGGTCATTTGGGATCTGATGCTATGAAAGCCTGGCTTAGCCTGAACCTCCTTTATAAGTAGTGAAGTAGGAAGAGCACAGCATTGGAAGTCCTGACTCTCTCATTGGCAAGTCATTTGCCCCTACTTTGGACCTCAGTTCCCTATTCTGGAAAATGCAGGTAAGTCAATGACTCGTAGGTCCTCTAGCCAGGACCTTAGTGATTCTGGGGAAAGCTCTGTTTGCTGACATTCAAAATAACTCTACAAAGTGTTCAGATGTGTTCTTGTCAATATCCATGCATAGGAGTCAAATTGGCAGCTCCAAGGACCTTGGCTCTAATTAGTCCATTTGGGTGGTACGTGCTTGTTTACCTCTGTAGTGTCCTGAATTACTGGGGGAAATGCCTTCACACGGCTTGACTTAAGCATATTCGACTTACTTTATACACTCTAAAATGTTTAAGCATATCACACACAGGTGGCGCCCTTTGAAGGGGGGAGGGGTGCATAGACGAGATTCCTGTAGGTGAACTAGACTTTCAAGGAAATCCTATTTCACAAACATCTCCCCTATGATTGTACTGCTTCTTTCATCAGCCCATCTTAGTTAGACACCTACTGCTTCTCACTGTAATGGCTCTTTGAAGGAGAAATTTATGGCCATTTTCAAGGGCTTGAGAAGCTGAGTGATGTGATGGTTATTACAAAGAAACCCTCAGGAGCTTGCTCTTGAAAGTGCTGTCATTTAACTTTCAGGCCACACATGCAACAGCCAGCAATTCTCTTGCAGGGTGTGCTTATTCATCAAACCAGCCTCATCTTCATCTGAGTACCCAGTAAGGTGACCAGCTCTTCTTAGTTCGCCTGGGAATTTTCTGGTGTTAGTATGGAAAGTCCTGCAGCCAAGGGAAACTGGGAAAGTTGGTTACCACCATTCCCAGGGTTCTCAAAGTTCAGAGTATGCAAGAATCAACACAGGAGATGACTAAAGCTGCAGAATTCTGGGGTGGGTAATGCTGGGCTAAATATTGTTCTGGCCACATTGTGAAATATGAGTAAGAAGTTATAAGTAAATTACTCCTGTTCCTTGGTATCTGGCTACCAGTGGTTCTTGAACTTATCTGCATATTGGAATCAACCGGAGAACTGTTAAAACATACTGATACCTGGACTTGACCTTCATCAACTAAATTAGAATCCCTTGGGATGGGGTAGGGACATTCAAATTCTATTTTTAAAGCTCCCCTCCACCCCAGGAAAAGCATCAGTAGATAGAGGAAGCATGATGGACAGTGCTGAAATCACAACTGCCACCTGGTTTCAGACCCTCCAATTTCCACCATTTCCTCTCCTGATATATAATACAGGGAAAATACTTTGGAGTGCAAGGTGGCATCATCTGCTGAAATTGAGGACAATATCACTTCTAGGTATAAAACCTATAGAAACTTTTGGACAAGTGTATAAAGAGATTTGTATAAGAATGTTACCTGTTGCTTTGGTTGTAGTAGCAAAAACTTGGAAGTGATCAAAATGTGTAACAACAGGATCAATGCAATGTGGTGGTATATTCATTATTGGAATAGTCTGCAGTGAGAATGACTGAATCAGAACTACATATGCCAACATCAGAACAAAGTGACCAGAGGACTTTTCTTTCTTTTTTTTTTTTGAGTTGGAGTCTCACTCCGTCACCCAGGCTGGAGTGCAGTGGCATACTCACGGTCACCCCAGAGCCAACTTGCTAGGCTCTGGTGATGCTTTCGTCTCAGTCTTCCAATTAGCTGGAACTATGGGTGCACGCTACCATGCCTGGCTAATTTTTTATTTATTGTAGAGACAAGGTCTCCACAAGTTGCCCGGGCTGGTCTCAAACCCTCAGCCTCAGGCAATCCACTTGCCTTGGCTTCCCAAAGTACTGGGATTACAGGCTGAGCCACTGAGCCGGGCACCTTAAGACTTTTCTAAAGTTAGGGGCTACTAAGACTGACTTCTTGGGGACTTGGAAGTTTCACTTTGGCAGGCAGGTTGTATTGTAGCAGGGGGTTCCTGACTGTGTACTAACACCTGTGACAGCAACTTGTATAGATGCCTCCTGCCACTGGGTAAGGTTCATTTTATTTGTTCTGAGGAAGCAACATCCTCATGGCTTAGAGAGAAATCCCACAAGAATTAGGTAGTGCTGTTGGATCTTAAAATACCTGCATTGCAATCCAGAACTTGCATGGATGGACGTCATTTTAGTCCAGGATCCCGAACTGCTTTGAAACAGGTGCATTCTCATTCCTCATTCTCTCTCAGTGTCCACACAGAGCAATAAATCCATTAGACATGCAGATGTTACCGTGAACCCAGGATTTCAAGGCTGTTAATCTTGTTTGGCTTTTCTAGGTTGCTGACAAATGTGTATTTTTAAAATGGGCCACAGAGCTTACCTGGTCCTAGCTTGGCCACGGCGTAGAGGAGGTCGTAGTTGAGGACTGGTGTGGCATCACTGATGGGCTGCCAGCCCACAGGTGGGGAGGAAGGGGGCGAGATGAGAAACTGTTTGGCAGGCTGGGGAGGAGCCAAGTGCAGTTTGTCTCCATCTGTCTCTGGAGTCTGAACCTTCAAACAGAGCAGAGATGGAGACCCTTTATTCATTATGGTGTCTGATGTGCCACCTTGGTACACCAAGAGGTGGGATTTATGTTTTAGCCTGTGACAAATGCACCAGATTGTAATAACAACTACTACTTACTGCACACCATGTGCTCGGTTGTCTCAGTTAATCCTTAAGATGGTAGATCTCTGTCTTTAACATGCATCAGAATCACCTGGAAGCCTCACCAATGCAGATTGCTGAGCCACACCCCTAGCCTTTCTGATTCAGCATGTCTGGGACTGGGATGGGGTCTGAGGATGAGGATCTGCAGTTCAAGTTTCCAGGTGCTACTGATGCTGCTGGGGCACTGTCCTATCACACACCTGCCAAATGTTTCTCTCCCTCCTTCCCTTTCTCTTCTTTTTTTCTTTCCTTTCTTTCTTACTATTTTCTTTTCCCTCCCATCCCTCTCCTCCCTTCCTCCCATTCCTCTCTTCCTCCCTTTCTTCCCTCCTCACTCCTTCCTCCCTTTTTCTTTCCCTTCTTCCTCTCTTCTTATTGAAGTGGAATTCATATCACATACAATCAACTACTTTACAATGAAAAATTCAGTAGCATTTAGTACATTCGCAATGTTGTACAATTAGCACCTCTCTCCAGGTGCAAACCATGTTTGTCACCTTAAAGGAAATCCCATATCCATTAAACAGTTACTACCATTCCCGTCTCCCACTAACCCCTGGCAACCACCATACTGCTTTCTGTCTCGATGCATTCACCTATTTTGGATATTTCATATAAGTGGAATCATAGATTATGTGAATTTGTGTCTGGCTTATTTCACTTAGTATAATGTTTACAAAGTTTAACCACACTGTAGCATATATCAGTTCTTTATTCCTTTTTATGACTGAGAAATATTCTATTGTATGGCTATACCACAATTTGTTTAACCATTCGTTCATTGATGGACATTGAGTTGTTTCTACCTTTTGTCTGTCATGAATAGTGCTGCTGTGAACATGCATGTACATGTATTTGAGGACCTGTTTTAAATTCCTACAAGTAGAATTGCCGGGTCAGATGGTAACTCATTGTTTGACTTTTTAAGGAACCAAGTGAGATTTTAAAAGATGAGAAAACTCAGATTTGCCCAAGTCATACAAATTATAGCAGTGTTGGGATTTGAAAATGGGCATGGGGCTAAAGTCTATGGAAAATTCAAAGGTGGAAATAAGACTTACAGATCATTCATGTGATGGATCAGTGTATCAGTGATGAGGTGAGGGCATGAATGGAACACTATATTGATTTCCCATTGCTGCGGACTTCATGGGCATGGCCATAAATTACCCATCCCTTTTGGAATAGCTAGGATTTATTTTTGGATGAAATAAGACACCAAATTAATTTCTATATATTTGTAAACTTTTCTCATGGATATGAATCATGGAAAAAGTTTAAGCAGCCCACTAAATCTGCCATATAATTTTCGTTTAACCCTGACAGGAAGGTTAAGAGTATTTATGATTAGATCATTTTTAGCACAACTGTTAGCTGGCATTTATTGTGCATTTACCAAATGCTAGGCACTTAAGCATGTGATAATTCATTTAATCCTCATAACAACAGTATGGGGGGGGCGTATATCACCATTATCCTCATTTTACGGGTGAGGACCCTGAGCCCTAGTGAGGTTATGTAACTTGCTCAGGTTAGCGCTCAGGTTATCAGCTCTCAACCTGCTTTCTAAACCACTAAACTGTTCCTGTCTGGGGTCATGGTATGAGTCTATTTTTCAGTGAACTAATTTATAGACCTCAAACCAATCTAAAAGTAGAAAGGGCTCCATTTACATTTAAAAAATAATGTGAGGAAAAAGGAGTAACTTTGGCAAAGCATTACCTTACCTGTGCAAAGTAGAGTTTTAATTTTTTCCCTCTGAACTGGGTTTCATGAAGCTCTATCCTGGCTCGGGCTGCAGATTTAGGATTGCTGAAATTTATTCGGACACGCCTGAAACTCTTAAATAGCTGGAACGTCACACAGTCATCATAAGTCCGGAACAGTCCTTCAAATTTTTCCTGATAAAAACAAACACAGAGGAAATTCATTGGCTATGTGTCTTTAATAACGTGATTTAATAGAAAATAAATAGGTTGTTTATAACACACAGTTAAAATAGAACACTGGTGTTTTTTCACCTGCTGCTATGTTGTCAGGTGTTAAACCTGCCTGTGGATTCAGTTGCAGAATTCACAATATGGGTCCAGGGATCTGTACTGGACCAGTGAATAGAGTTCAAAGTATATGAAACACATTGCAAATGATGCAAAATGGTGAGTGTTTCTGTTGGGGAGAGGGGTCATAATTACCATCAGATTCTCCAATCAGTCTGCCATCTCCCAAATATTAGAGCTACTGAGTAAAGCAGGTGATAAACATTAGTGATTATCAATCTTAGGGACACATTTCTTGCCTAAAAATATAGGATTCCACACCACTCAAATTCCTAGTCAGGGAGCATTGTATCATTATTCCTGACCAATGAAGTGTGTACAGAGGGCAGAAAAAAGCCCTTGAGTAATTTTCAGTCTCTTTCTCTGAAGAGGCCATGTGTTTTAGATGATACAGTTGTCAGAAACAGGATTCTCCTTACCTGGGTCCCTGAGTGGCTGTGTGGAACAGAAATTGCTTTCTCCCTACTCCCATTCCATCCTATAGTCAACTTTACCTCGGCAAGGAAAAATTTTTAAAAACCCTCTGTTCCATTTGACCATTGAGATTTGAGTATTATTTTATTCCTGCAGCATAGCCAAGTCTATCATAATACAAACCAATAATTTTAAAATTTAGATTCAATACACAATTTCAATTCAACTGAACAAGTATCTATTAAATGCTTACTTTTCAAAAGGCAATGTCTTTCTCTAGGCTTTGAGAAGATTCAGAAATGAGGATCATATTGTTCTGACCACCAATGATCTAACAATCTAACATAAAAGGCAGATACAGACATGAATGAAAGAACACCCAGAAGACTGGGGAAAAGAAAATTTGAGAATTGTAAAGAAATATATATATTTAATCTGTTTAAGGCTAGGTTCCTCTTAGCCTTAAAAGATCCTTATTATAAATATAATATAAACTAGTCCATGTTAAGCTACAGTGTCTCCATTTTTCTTCCACCCACATTTCCTCCACTACAGCCCCTCAACTAGGGTGCTCTTTTTTTTTTTAGTGTTCCAATAAAACTTTATTTATGAACCTAAATAGTCACATTAATTTTCATGTGTCATTAAAATCTTTTAAAACACCATTTAAAATTAAAACACAATTCTTAGTTCACAAGCCATAAAAAGCAGTCAGTGTGGACTGGATTTGGCCTGCGGGCAATGGGTGGCTGTTATAGGTTTTTATGTGTTATGCCAAATGCTTCAAATTCCAGAGACTTTGAAAACTTTCATTTTTAGATTTCTCATTTTAAAATTTATTTCACACAAGTTTTCTTTCTGGATAAATATACTCACGAGAGAAAAATAATTCGGAAAAAAACACAATTCCTCATGTAGGAAAAAGAGGAAAGGTGTAAAATGAATGTTAACCTTAAAATGTATAATTAGGAAACGTAAAATTAAAAATTGAAATTTTTATTCTATGCAATATAAAACATTATGCATAGATCTGGTACATAATCTTAGTTTTTAATTTAGGAAAAAAGACTTTTAGTAAAAAGTTGCAACTGAAACCAGCACTCACTTGCCCATACATCAACTCTGAATATAATATGAATTATACCTAGGAATTGAAATTTGCCTAGGTAAGTTCTGTCTGCTTTTTAAAAAATGCACAATTATATCACAGGACACTATGGCTTCTACAGTTTGTGACAATTTTGAAAAGGCAACTCCTGCCTCCATAATATAAGGAAACAAGAATATTTTTTTCCATAGTCATCCGGTATAAAAAAACTATACAGTCTGATTTACCTTTATCAAAGGTAAAATGATTCACTACTACACTTGTATGGATTATTTTGATCCTCAATAGTTCCTGAACATAAAATAAATTTTGCATAAACTTTTGTCTGTTTGGGTTTTCCAAAGCAAGCTACTAGTATGTTTGTATTAAACTGGCAAAAGTCCATGAGCTAAAGAAAAAGGAAGTGGATATAAAATGTTTACCAACTTTATCCTTTCTAATTTTACAATAGCTTCAGGTATTGAGACCTAACTGGTTACTTGTGCCTATCCATCATGAACGCAACTCCGTATTTTATTTTATTTTATTTTTGAGTTGGAGTCTCACTCTGTCGCCCAGACTGGAGTGCAGTGGCCGCTCCCGGACACCGCAGCCTCGACCTGCTGGGCTCCGGCGACCCTTCCGCCTCAGCCTTCCAAGTAGCCAGAACTATAGGCATGCGCTACCACACCCAGCTGATTTTTTGATTTATTGTAGAGATGAGGTCTTGCCTGCCCAGGCGGGTCTTGAGCCTGTGGGCTCAGGCAATCCACTCACCTCAGCCTCCCAAAGGTGCGGGATTACAGGCTGAGCCACCGAGCCCGGCTAACTCAGTATTTTAGTTTAACACTCCTCAGTGCCATCTTTTGATGGGCTCTTCATTTTGCGATGTGTAAAATCATTTCATCCAACTTTAATCATTTGTTCTTCCCAAGATTTCATCTCATTATCATAACGAATTTTGTCATCTTTAGCAAGTTGAATATATACTTGCTTTTGAGAACTAGACAGATTTTTCCAGTTTCCATTTACAGTCTTCAATTTTGCCTGTGATGAACCATCCTTAGCTTCTTGGAAGCTTTCAGATACAAAAATGTTATAGGCTGAGCGAGGTCTTTTTGGTTTTCCAAGCATTGTTAACTCTCTCTTTTTTATTAATACTTTCTTTTTTAAACATTTCTGCATGATTTCTTTTTCCAAAGGTAATATCTGACTAGGAGTTAGTTGTTCTTGAATTCTGTTTATTTCTTCTTTGTATGCCTGCCAGTCTGCCCTGTAAGCATCTTCATATATTTTTTTCTCTGAATCAGGAAGTTCTCTCCATAGCTCAGCAGTTCTTTTAATTAGTTCTGAATTTTTTGCATCTGGGTCCTGAGCTTTCAATATGGGTAGCTGCTCTTTAGTAAATCGAAGGTAAGAAGTCATTGGTTTCTTTGGATAACTAGCCAAGGAGGATGAAAACCATTTCGATAAATACACAAAACTAAAGGGTAGGCGAATTCGACTTCCACAATCAGTACACAGCTCAGTTCCGGACCTTCCCAGGGCACTCAGCACGCCCCACATGCTTCGGAGAAGCGCCATCGCACCAGCAGACAAGGCAGTGGCCGGGTCCCAAATTCGTAGAGCCTCCCGGCACAGCAGGACAACCCCAACAATGACAAGCCGAAGCCACGTGCAGTCCTTCACAACTAGGGTGCTCTTAATGTCACTAAGGACAATCTGATTCTTTTATTTTAAAGTAAAAGGTATTTTGTCATAAGAATGAGTACAAGTAGGAATGGCGATACATAAAAGATAAATACTGCAAGAGTCATAGAATTTTAACCAGAAATGAACTTAAGAGATGATATACTCAACCTTTCCCTCCTCACTTTGATCATTTTACAAATCAGACCCCTGAGGTCTGAAGAGACAAGGACCCCACCCATGGGAGCAAGAATAGTCAGTGGCAGAGCCGTGACTAAGCCGAAGTCCTTATGACCCTAACTACAGAGATATGGTCAACTCTATAAAGAGTTACACTGCTGGACTGACAGCAAGAGATGGTTGTTTTAATAAGGACAAGAGGTGGATAGCAATAACTAACCCAAGGCTAAAGTGTGACCATATGTAAGAGAATGAACATGATAATGTGGGGATGTAAAGCCACTGACCTCTGAGGCTGCATAGGAAGAATCACTCAGATATCAAGGAAGGTCTTCTTGCCTCTTGGGCACCCAGAAGATCTTGTATCAGACCCTGTAACCCATGTTAGCGATGCTTCCAACCCCTGCTGCCCATTTCTGAGGATTCCCAGGCTGTGGTCCTCCACAGTCTCACCCATTTTTGACTCCTGTGTCCACCCACAATCTTTCTCTTTTATGTCAGCCCCCCCAGAACGCCAAATAATACAGTCAACTTTTTTTTTTTTTGAGTCAGTCTCACTCTGTTGTCCAGGCTAGAGGGCAGTGGCATGATCACAGTTCACCACTGCCTCAACCTTCTGGGCTCAGGTTATCTTTCTGCCTCAGCTTCCTGAGTAGCTTGAACTACGGGAGTGTACCACCATGCCCGGCTAATAGTTTTAACTTTTTGTAGAGAAAAGGTCTCGCTATGTTGCCTAGGCTCATCATGAACTCTTGGAAAAAGTTTTAATTTGTTTTGTCTCATGACATTTATGGGGATCTGAGGACTTCTTACTCTCCTTTTCAGGTTCTTATTCTCTTTTCACTCTCAAGAGCAAAACAAGAAACTTTCCTTGCCTAATGCTGGGAAGTTTATGTTTTTGTTTGTTTGTTTTTGTTTTTTCCCCCTTGTCTCTCAAGCCTTGGGATCAGCCAACTCTCAGGCCCACAGCTTCAGCTACCACTCTGAGAGGGCTCATTATGGAATTCTTTCCCAATAATACTGTGTTTTCTGAACAGGAATCCTGATGAATAAATTGCTTTCTGTTTCCTCACAATGAGAGAACTCAGAGCTGCTCAAATCACAGCTGGTGGCTTGGTTAGTTTGGGAGCTTTCAGGAATAGGAAGGATTAAGCTCTTGTTTCTATACAAAGTGCAATAAATTTTAGGACAGAATCCTTGGATCTTCTTTGTGACTGGTATGCTTTTCCATTCCCAGGTCAGGAGCTCCCCCTTCCCATCACCCTCTAAGTCCTACGTGTAGGAAGCTAAGACTAGCCTTTGAGGGCAAGGGGCTTTTTCTTTGCATCTGATCCCTTGCTTTTTGTTTTAAATTTCTTTTTTATACATCACATCTAAGTTTGTCAGAGCTGTTTGGTCTCAAGAACCTGCATTAGGAGCAAGGAATCAATGAGTCCAGGTTTCAGGCTTAGGGGAGAATTGACAAAGTGCTGCCTATTTTGTGAGGCCTTGGCAGACATCAATAAAATCGTGTTCCCACAGGTGCTCAGCAGAGGACTACCAGGCAACTACTACTAGCAAGTTGGAGTTGGCCGTTATATATACCTCTTTGAAATCCCTTGTTTTGGGCTTAGGCTGATAAGTAAAAGAAACTCTTGCACCAAAGCTGGAGTGTAGGCAGGGCTCAGGGGCCAGGATTTTCACTGGACCATATGGGGCTTAAAGTCTATGATGATAATAACAATAAACAGCTGACATTTACTTGGAATGTCCTCTCTTCTCAGGTCTTTTGGGAACTTGCAGTAGTAGGGGGTGACAGCTGGCTGAGAATTGAGGGCTTGCTGGCCATCTCTATTTTTGTTTCCATTAGTGGCATTACAAATATTTCATCTGCTGAGGCAACAGGATACCAGACCAAATTGGTTAGAGGCAGATCCAGCACAATGAACTCACCAGATGTACCCTGAAGCTAAACAGTGAAGGGAACAGAGCTAGCTGTAGGAGTATGTGTGTATAAATCCCTTTAAAAGTAACAATAATAAGCCTATGTGCATGTGAACATATTTTATGAAAACATAAAATATCGACATGTTATGTCAACATTACCTTTTATGGAAAATAACTATTTTCCAAAACAGGAAACAATTTTGGGGAGAAGATTGACAGTGTTTTACATTTTTGCAAATATCTTTAATTTCCAACTTATTAGACAATACCTGGAATCTTATATCTGCTTCTGCATTCAAACTATTGCATTTGGTTGCTCTGACTGAAGAATATAAAGGAAAGCTGACTTTGCCCAAATATGTGGTTGGAAAAAATTCAATAAGTGTATTCTTCCTTTCATCAAAACTCAGAAAGTGATAGTTTCTTAAACTGTATTGCAATATTGAATCTGAAGTCATAATCAAATAACATTTTTGATTTGATTGTATTAAAATGTATTGATCTACTTTGCATTTTGAATGGATTTTTTTAATCCATGTATGATTTTGTAATCATGCACATTGATTATCTGGAAAATATTGGTTCCCTGAGTTATGCAGCTTTTCCCAAATTGACCAATTTTATTATATAATAGTAAAAATCACATTCATTGACATTACTACCTATCTTATCAAAAAGACTTTAGGAATTGGAAAGCTGTCAAAATCATATTGATGGGCTGGGCGTGGTGGTTCATGCCTATAATCCCAGCACTTTGGGAGGCCAGGGTGAGAGGATTATCTGAGCCCACAGGTTTGAGGCCAGTCTGGGCAACTTGGTGAGACCTCATCTCTACAATAAATAAAAAAATTAGTGGGGTGTGGTGGCGCATGCCTGTAGTTCCAACTACTTGGAAGGCTGAAGAGGAAGGATCACCCGAGTCCAGCAGATCGAGGCTGCGGTGGCTATGAGTGTGCCACTGCACTCCAGCCTGGGTGGAAGAGTGAGATGCCAACTCAAAAAAAAAAAAAAATTACATTGATGGATACAAGTTTTCCAAAATTCTAAATTTTACTTGAAAGCTTATTCTTTCTCAATGGCAACAAACATTGCCAGTCATTTTTCTTAAAATAACAGACTCAATTCACTCATTTTTGAGAAAATGTCTGCCAAATACCTAAGACTGCATAACTATAGTTTATCTGTCAGTGGTTCTTTCAAATAAAAACGGTTATGAGAAAAGTACTTAGGACAGCTTAGAACAGCCTAGAACATTCTTCCAGTCAAACATTGTATTTTGGAATGCCACAGATGTGTTTCCCATGTGTATGACCAGTTATTCAGCGTATTAAAAAGGAATGTGCTCAAGAATAACAAGTTAATTAAATAAGTAACTTTTACTGCTGTGTCAAGGACATTTTAAAGTAATAATTGGCATTTTATTTCCTTCTTCCTCTTTTTTTTTTTTTTAAACTGTGTGTGGCTGTGAAGACTACAAACACAGTCATGTGCTACATTATGATGTTTTGGTCAATGATCAACCACACATATGACCATGGTCCCATAAGATTATAATACGGTATTTTTTACGTTACCTTTTCTGTATTGAGGTGTGTTTAGATACACAAATACCATTGTATCATACTGCCTACAATACTCAGTACAGTAACATGCTGTACAGGTTTGTAGCCCAGGAACTATAGGCCAGGGGTCCCCAACCCTCAGGCCATGAACTGGTACTGGTCCATGGCCTGTTAGAAACAAGGCTGCATAGCAGGAGGTGAGAGGTGGGTGAGTGGGCAAAGCTTCATCTGTATTTTCAGCTACTCACCATCACTCACATTACCACCTGAGCTCCATCTGCTGTCAGATCAGCAGCGGCATTAGATTCTCATAGGAACATGAATGCTATTGTGAAATGTGCATGAGAGAGCTCTAGGCTGTGTGCTCCTAATGGGAATCTAATGCCCGATGATCTGAGGTGGAGCTGAGATGGTGAAGCTATATATTTCATTATATATTACAATGTAATACTAATAGAAATAAAGTGCACAATAAATGTAATGCACTTGAATCATCCTAAAACCATCCTTCCCCTCCCTCATCTGTGAAAAGTTGTCTTCCCCAAAACCAGTCCTGATGCCAAAAAGGTTGGGGACTGCTGAGCTATACCATATATCCTAGATATGTAGTAGTAGACTGTACCATCTAGGTTTTTGTAAGTATACTCTAAGATGTTTGCACAATTAGAAAATTGCCTAATGACACATGTTTCAGAACATGCCTTTGTTGTTAAGTGACACTTGACCACACTACTAGTACAATCTGGTGGCATTACACTGATTCATGCTTAAGTACCAGAAGTTTTTAACGACAACTGCTTTTGTACCGTGGGGGTAAATGTCAACATGGATGAAAAGGCAAAAGATGCCTTAGTATTATTAAGAAAATAGTTTTGACTTCACGGGAAATGGTCTTGGGAATTCTCATAAGTCCATAAACACCACTTTGATAACTGCTGTATAAGATCTCAGAAGAAGTAAGGATTCTGTTGTCCTGGGACAAAGACAGGAGATCTGCTGAGAACCTTAAGAGTACACCATCATGGTCAAAGAAGAGCTATCATTCAAGGAAGTGTGATAATGGTGATATTGAATGCTGCAGAGAAGTCAAATAGGATGAAGATGGAGATGACATTGTTGGTCTTAATGAATGGGAAAATGTTGATGATCCTACTGAGAGCTATTTGAACAGATGTGGAGATGCAACACAGATTATCACAGGCTGAGGAGTGAAGGGCAAGGAAAAACATTGGAAAAAGAGTT